ACTCCACACCCAGAACATCCATTTTCATGCATGAGCTCTCATTCTTTATAAATGGCTGTATTGTATTCACTGTGTGAATGTACCATAATTTACTGAACCATCTGCTTAAATTCATTTAGAGTCTTTTATTACAGACTGATTCAAAGCTATTCATTCATTTATATGCACACGCTTCACTTATCTCCCAGAATGCACCACACTCTCTGGGGCTTCCTGGCCTTTGTACCTTCTGCTCCCACCTCCTGGAACATTCTTCACCAGCTCTGACCACTTGGCTGATTCCTGCACAACATCTGGTTCTCTGCTCCAAAGTCCTCTCCTTGAGGATGGCTCTCTGGCTCCCTGACAGGCCACGCCTGCCTGTGAGAAGTTCCGGTGTCTGTCTTGCCCCTCACCTTCCTTGCTGTCCTTTGGTCACTGTCTCTCTCCCCTGCAGATTGTACCTAAGGTCTGACCCTCAAGGAGCTGGTGGCTCACCTTAGACCCTTGGGCCTGGCACAGAGCAGGTGCTTATCAATCCTCATTGACTGATGGATACCAGGGGCTTTTTCTCTCACTTCTTTTAATCTCCTAAATCTGCAAGAGACCTGGACTTTAGAAAGTGCATTTCCATGTGCTCAATATCTCAGTTGCCCTGGTGGTCCTGAGGGATATTAGCAAGCTCATTGGTCTGAGGTCACAGCTTATCTGCTTTCTGCGCAGATCCAGTAACAACTAACCCTTAACAAGTGTGTGCCCATACACGTTAAGTAACCCTCTGAGGCAGATACAACTTTAGAAATGAGGACGTTAAAGCTCAGAGAGACGATACAGCCACTAAATGGTGTGGCAAGATTCAATCCAGGTCCAGCTCAGGGCACTGGGCACTTTTTCTCTTGGTCACTTCCACCTGGGGCTTCAAGGACTTGGTTTAGAGAATTGTCAGGCCTTTGTGATAACTCTCACCACCTAACTTCCCCCATCACCATCAACTTTAGATCTCTGTTGTCTGGCTAGTGAGCTGAGAGTGTTCAGATGGTTAAAGTCTCTCTTGGATTCTGGCCACCACTGAGGATTTGGGGCCCTGTCTGGCCTGCCTGGAAAGAAAGCTTTCCCATCTTCATGGGGTCAAGTGGTCCCATCTGCTAAGAGCCTTTGGTGTCTCTGCTGATTGGGGCCTTGCTCTCCAGATTCCTGGTTGAAATCATCCAGAAAAAGACAAACCCCTGGGGAGAGAGGGTGCAAGCTGACTTGCCACCTGATCAATCTGGAATCTTCTGATATACCCCATCACCTGGGGGAGTTTAGGTGTTCCAAATCTGCCCTGGAGGCTGGAGTGTTGTCAAAACCAATAGTATTGGCTGCTCTGGGGATACAGGAACTCACAGGTTTTGGAAACAGTGTTACTAGCCTTACAGTAATTGTTACTAACAATACAATAATCCTGCTGTGAGCCCATTTTACAGATGGGAAAACTGCAGAGCAGAGAGAGAGAGAGGGGTGAGTCGAGGAGGAAGGGTTTGAAGCCAGGCCTCTGGAGTCCATTCTTGGTTTCATTAGTCTTCTCTCATCCCACAAGTCCAAGGGGAACATAGTGTTGTCCCTCAGTAGGGGACAAGATACTGTCCCTGGCATTGGCTCCCTCTCAGAACCCAGAGGTTAGGTGACTAGTCCAACGTCATATCTGGTAAAAGATGCAACCTAAGTTCAAGGCCAGATCGGCCTGCCCTATACCTTCACACATCCTTTTGGTCTGTCTCTTGAGGAAAGAAAAACTTTTTGCCTCTGTTAATGAACCAGACCCTGTCATCCTTCACAGCCCAGCTCAAGGGTGCCTTCTTCTGTGAAGGCCTCTGATTTTCCCGTGCCCTTCTCTCCACCTGTCAATCATCTAAGCCTGTGTCACACTCTTGCCTGTGTCCTTGGGCCTACCTTTTCCACAGCAGCAAAGCCTGGTGGTTAAGGGCCACGGCTTTGGAATTAGGCAGTTGGGGATTCAAATCCTGGTCCTGCCTTTTACTTGGTGTATGTCTCCAGGCAAAGCCCTTCTCTGTGCCAAGCCTCAGTATTTTCCTTTATGAAGTGGGGTAACTGTGGCACCTCTGGGTTGTTGTCAAACTATGTGGGGTAATGCACACAGGGCTGGCATAAAGCTGGTGCTCAGATTATGGCAGCTGCTGTCATCATTAGCAGAAGGTAAAGAACTCGTCCAGGCCTTGAGGATCTCAGGTGCTCACTATGGAGGGTAATTGGCCCTTAACGAACTTCCTAGTGCAGCCCACACAGGGTGGGGAAAGTGCAGGGGGGCATTCCCTCTATACCCTGTGCCCACTCCCCACATACACACCTGTGTTTTGTTCTGCCTTCTTAGAGCCTTTGCTGGAAGAACCTGAAGCTGTAGAGCCCTTGAGAACGATGCCTCCCTGTGGCCGAGTGAGAACGTGCCTTGGGAGGAAGGTAGATGGGGGAGGAAGGCTGTCTAATCTCTGTTTCACAGGTTCACCCAGCTATTTGCTGAGGACCTACTATGTGTCAGGCACTGTGCCGGGGGCTCAAGGTACAAGGGTAAAGAGCACAAACCCCCCGCTTCATGGAGCTTATAATCTAGTGGAGGGACAATGGAAACAAACATAAGAATATATAACACATTAGATAGAGGTAAGACAGAAAATAAACAGGACAAAGGGATAAAGTGGTGAGTGGGGCTAGGTCTGCGCAGCTCTTCAGGCTTTAGTAAAAAGTTTCTAGGGGTAACGGGGAGGTCCTGAGAACTTTAAAGGAAGAGAGTGATGGACGTGGGACCTGTGTGTGAACAGACTGTGAGGGGCAAGGGCAAGAGCAGAGGGGGACCAATGAGGAAGTCACTGCAGTTGTTGATATGAGAGGTGACGGAGGATGGGCCCAGGGGATCATAGGGCAGGGGTGACAAGTGGCTGGATTTGGGATGCGTTTGCAGCAGAACTTGGAGGACTTGCTGAGGGACTGGGCATGGAATGAAGCATGAGGTTGCTGAGAGAGAGGTGCAGGCTGCCAAGAGAGGAGCTTGCTCAGAATGGGACCTAGGCTGGACCCCAGAAGTCAACATTGTTTTCTGCTCTGCTTCCCTGGCCTGGCCTGAGAAGAGAATGGACCTAGAAGTGGGGGACAGGAGGCCACGGCCACAGCCCATGACAAGGGGGCAGAACCCATTTTAAAGAAGGAAGATCTCCTTTTATTTGGCCCTGGGAGGGAGAAGTCCTGACAGCAGTTCCCTGTGAAAGTGCAGTGCTTAGGATAGAGGAAGCAGCAGGGACCCCACGTTTCTGTGCTGACTTTTCCCGGTGAACACCGAGTCAGCTTTAAGGAGTTCCTGGTGGGGTGGGCACATTTTGCACCACTGATGGGTACGGAAAGGGTGCCCCGGCTCAGTAGGGCACTTTGGCAATGCCACTCAAAGCCATAAACACGTGCCCAGCTCCGCCCCACGTGTCTGTTTCCTCCCGTGGCCATCTCCTGAGGAAGCAACCAGATGTACTGCAAGCTGTCCCTACAGGACTGGCATGTTGTGGTTTGAGGCCACACGGGAACACCACACGTCCCAAGGCAGACCAGTTTAAAATGAACACTTTAGGGCATCGTCGTGATGGCTAACTTACATTTTTCACTCGATGAAAAATTTTGGCTACCTTTCCATTAGGACATGTCCCATGTGTTGCAATTTATCTTTGGCCCAGCCTATGTAATGCCAGGAAGATCCCTCACTTGCCAACCAACTTTGGGGATGATTCCAAATGCCTCAGTTGAGAATGACTGCCCTGAATTCAGAAACCCCAGCACCCGTGGCTGAGTAAACCCCCTATTTTTATTTTTAAAATCTATGTAATATGAAAGCCTATGTGCGAGGCCACCAAGAACAAAAAATCAGGGCTGAAACATCCTTATCCAGGCTTGAACCAGATCAGTGTGACCCCTGGCTCTGTGGTTGGCAGTCCTTCTCACCTATGGCTGGACGCTTGACTGGTCTGCACTGTGGTGGCTGCAACAGTTAGATCAGATGCCTTGCTCACTTCCTGTGGCTGGGAATCCAAAGAAGCTCCTGCAGACTCTTCCAGATGATGCAGGGTGTGAGCGATGTCTCTATGATCTCTTCCGGTATGTACTAACCAACATAAGCAGGAACCCTGAAGGGGGCGGGGAGCCCATGTATACAGGGCACGGTGGTTAACAGCAGTGCCTCAGGGGCAGGCAGACCTTATTGCTCACCAGCTGTGTGACCTGGCCTACAGTTCTGTGCTGTAAAACGGGACTGAAGGCACTGAAGCACTTAGGATGGTTGCTGTCATCACGCAACTTCTTCAAAGCAACCCCTTAGAAAGTACAAAACTCCATTGTCCTCATTCTGGTTTTTAATGGTCAAGGTGACAATACAGTTTCTGCAGACCTGAATTTAGTTTCATGTTTACCTCCACCTGCTGGAGGGCACGCTGTGGTGGATGCTGCCGCCCTGGCAGCCCCCTGCCACTCTGGGATTGGAAGCACCAAGCCATTCCTTTCTCAATACAGGTCCGGGTTGAAACCCCAAGCCCTTCCCCACTCTGGATAGTAGTGTTGGCTCGTGGCTCCTTGCAGGGGGTGAAGCAGCAAAGAGAAAGTGATCGGTGATGACTGCTCAGAAAGAGGACTGAGGCATGTTATAATTCAAAACCAGGAGATTGAGTCAGCGCTGATTCCAAGTTCTGGTTCATTTAACAGGGAGGTGGAAAGACTTCCATCCAAGACCTCAGTGAGCCTCCTCTCCCAAACTGGCACACTTATTGCAGGGGGTGGGGGGAGGTCTTTGCCTAAGCTGGTGCAAGTCATAACTCAGCAGAGAACCACAACAGAGTGGAGCCTTCACACCTAAGCCATACTCATGGTTACTCTAACTTCAGTCAGCAGAAGCCTCCTGCAGGTGCCAACAGTGAAAAGAGCACTGGGAACCCACCCTTCTTCACTATGTGACCTGCCATGCATCATCAGTGCTCAGCGATATTTTGATTCTGTTTCTCTTTCCGGCCATGATACCCTGACTGTGACCTCATCTGGATTGCCACTAGCTGTTTCCCAGTAAAAAGATGCCCTATCTCCTCCGAGGCACATATTTCTGCATGTGGAGTAAATAAAGCAAGGACAGAGCAGCCCGGATGATGAGGGGCGAAAGGGCTGGGGCAGGCAGGTATAGTTAGAATCTCAACTGGCCAAGGCCTGGGGAGCGTATATTTCCAGGGTGTGAGCGAAAGGCACACAGGGAAGTAATTATTTTCACCTGAAGGAGTTGAGCCTATAGCTCTGACCCCACACTTAGGGGACTCTTGTTGCTGCCCAGTTTTATCCATGTAAGGGATCCGCTCTTGTGGAAGCGAGTGGATGCAAAGTCGTCTTCTCTAAGTCCCCCACTCCCTCCCCTACAAAGGGGAGATCCTCCTCTAGTCACCCTGGGGGTGGCGGGCAGACGCATGTGGATGGGTGTTGTGTGCCCTGTGTAATTTTTACGCAGAGAGGATGGAAGGAAGGCACCTCCCCACACACCCTAAACATAAATATGACTTTAAAGCAATTGAAGCCTGCACTGACTGTACACCTGTTCCACTGTACAACATGCTGGTGACATTCCTTCAATTTTTTTGGTTATTTTTATTTTTTCTTTAAAGTCCATTGATCGTCACAAAAAACCAGGAAATGCAACTAAGGAGAAAACAAATGTCCAACTGAGATCTAAGAACCCAGAGCTACGGAGGAGGCGTGGCACTGGACTGCTGGGTGTGCGGGAGGGGGTGGAGGGGCGGTCCCCATGGGGCAGCTGGCCGCGGGAGACACAGGAGGGAGATGAGGTTGCCGGTAGGGCCGGGCGGTTATGTTAACCGTTGCACGATGACGGCGTTGAGCAGGTTGGCTTCCTTCAGGGTCTGGCTCTCATCAGCCAGCTCTTTGTTTGGGAAAGTAGTCATGAGGACAAAGCTGGTGGCAGCCATGGCCGGCCGGGCATCCACGATGAAGAGTCGGATATCGCTGATCCTGGCGGAGTGGGATTGAGCGGGGAGGTACATGAGCAGTGTCCTTCTCTGCTGGCCACGCTGCCCATGCCCTGCAGGCTGCCTCACATCCTCAAGTCCCCTCCCAGGCCCACCCTTCTTTACAGAGGCCAAAGCTCTCATTTGGAAGCACAGGGGCTCATGTCATTCCCTCCCACCCAAAACCCTTCACGAGTGCTCCCATTTTCCTTGGCATAAACACCAATCTCCTGACTAGGGTCCCAAGGCCTGTCTAATTTTATACCACCTCCTTCATCCATTCTCCTACCTCCCCACTTCTGTTCTTCATCATGCTCTGCTCCCTGCACACATTTGGGCTCCTCTTCCTACAGGCTTCTCTGCCTGATCGCTTTTCTGTAATCCTTATCAAACTTGTTTCACAACTAGCCTCACATGAAGCCTGTCTGCACTTGAGGACCGGTGAACCACTCCCTGGGCCCCGCATGTGGCTTCTGGTTTGTATGGCCTATGAATGATGTAACTGAGACACTGCTATTCTAGAAAAAGGAGCTGCTAAATATCTTCACTGACAACAGTCCAGCCCTGCTATCTGTGCCTCAGTTTCCTCGTCTTTACATGGGAGAGGCACGCTTGCTTTGATCCAGCCCAGATGATCTGAGATAGTAGAACAGGTATTCTAGAATTCTCAAAGTTCAGACCTAGACGAGACCTTAGTAGCCCAGCGGTTTTCAGAGGCCACTTTTGGGGAGAGAGGTAGGGGAGGCCAGGCGGGTGGGATGCTGGCACCGTGTTCCCTCTCCCCTCCACCAACCACAGCAGTTCAAATTTATGTGTTCTGCACCTGGGCTTTAGCATGAAATTCCTTTGAACAGATAGTTTGGTGGCTAAAAAAAGAAACCCCTGAGGAATCCAATCCCACAATCAGACTTAGAGACTGGGAGTCAGCCCCACCGGAGGCAAGTGAGCAGTCACTGGCCACACAATGGAAGAGTGGGGACCGAACCGGAGGCTTCGCTTACATACCTTCCCATCCCACTGCCTCCTTTGGGGAAAGCATGGAGTGCCTGCTGGTGTTTAGGAGGAAGAACTGCTCCCTGCTTCTCACCCACTTGTGGGAGTTTTGAGGACCCTCCCAGAATAAGCGACGTCACATAACTCCCAGTACCTGTGGCTGTGGTTAAATTTCTGCACCAGCCTCCCGCCGTCGGCAAGCCGTATTTGGATGTTTGTGGTAGGCTGTGACTCATCGATTGAGATAGAAGAGCTAGCTTTGGCTTCATTTTCTGCCTGTTGGGCTGGAGAGCTGGTATTCAACACCTGGGGGGCAGTGCTGAGGAGAGAGGATTACATCAGGCTTGAATGGAAACAAGGCCCCAAGAAGAAGAAATAGGATTTCTGAAATCCTTTGAAAGACTTTTACTGAGCATTCACTTCATCTGGCGCTCTGCTTGTTGCTGCTGATAGGAGTGACCAAGACACAATCCCTGGCCTCGTGGAACTTACAGCTAGGGCAGAAAGCAGCTTCAACCCCGAGTTACTACCTGCTCCCCAACTCCTGGAGTTGGGCAAATCACCAACACTCTTCTTCCTTGGTGTTCACAACTGAACAAGGGCTTGAAGGGAGGAAAGCAGTATGGACTATGGCCTGGGCTGGAAGACACTGGGACCTGAGGGCTGGAGGACCCAATGGACCAAATGAGTTTTAGTCTTAATGAGAGAGGCCAAGGGCAGAATGGGGAGGGGGCATTCCAGGTCTGCAGCTGAGGCAGGCTTGACACAGCCCAGCAACTGACTGTTGTAATGTAAGGGACAAGTCCAGACCCTTTTCCTTTGATGGAATTTTCAGGCCTGCATGCCCTAGTGCAACCTCACTCTTGTGAGCATCTCATAATCAGCTGTCAACTATCAGGAGGTGGCAGAGATTTCCAGGAGGCCAATTAAGTGCCTAGTACTGCAGGGAGTAATTACACAATATGAACAGGACATGGTGCCTGCTGCCCTTTAAGAGCTCAAATCTTGGAATGAGATGGACCAAGGTTTGAATTCACCCACTAATTACGGTGGTGTTGGGCTAGTTATTTAAGTTCCCTGAGTTTCAGTGAGGGTAGTAATGAGGTTCTTTAACAAGAGTTAAGGCTACCTGCCTTGCTCAGATTTTGTGAGGATTAAAGAGAACTACATAAAGCACTCAGGGTGGCTGACAAACACAAAAAGCACACGAACTCCTAATTCTCTGCAGCAGTTTGGAGGCTTCATCTCTCTCCTATAAACCATCTTTGTCTTCACTCTCAGCCTTTCTCTTAGCAGATGCCCTGGCCTAGACCTTTGCAGAGAACAGAGGCCATCAGGTGAGAGCTCCCTCACTTCCTCCCAAAGCCTCTAATTAGATCACTTCCTACACTTCACTCCTCCCTCTGATCTTTACAACCTAAAAAGGGTATTTGTAGCAAATCCAATTCAAAATGCTTTCCTAGTGGTTTCCCTGGGACCCCAATCCCTTGAGATATCTCCAGGAATATTTTGGAAATGTCATATATTATACCAGCATCATAGGCCACTAACATATTAAAGGTCTTAAGAGATCGTGCAGTTAAGGCAAACTTATTTGACCACCATGTCCTTTTTTCATGTTACACTTAACCTCCTGCAGATCATTTCATGGAACACAGTTCGTGAGATGCTGTCACAGAACATATAATTAGCAAGGAAGAACCAAAAAGTGAACTCACTCTTTTCTGTGCATGTGAAAAATGTGGGCTTAAAAGAATTACAAAGTGGAGCTCAGAAGAGAACCCTGGCCACATTTACTGGCTGGGAAAGGAGCTTCTTCTGTGTATCAGCCTCAGAGCATGTGGGCCCAAATGTGAGCTGAGACACAGATAAATTATACCACCACAGGCCGGAAGAGATGCTTGGACATAGTGGGAAGTTAAATGTTACAGCTATAAATGCCTAAGATCTTCTTTGTCTATTCATTAGTCTTATGGGCATTAGGTCAACTCTCTATTTAGACTCTAGGCAGCCTATCCCTCAACTGTTTATAACAATCCAAGTACATGACAGGTACTCACTGAGGCTACTGGCTGCCAGAAAGGCCTAAATGAGAAAGAAGCTGAGTTACCTGACTGCTCATTTTGTAGTAGAACTAAATTGGGCACTAAGGTGCTTTCTGCCACAATGATGAGTCCTGAGACCCTGCCACTGGCTTTACAAAGATGACCACCACAGAAAGCATGGTGGCAGCGGAAGCTCAGCCCTCGCAGCAGTGGCACCCCCACCGTCACTGCACTACTGGTGTTTGCTACTCAAAATCAAATAAATGCAGTCTTCCCAATCTTCAGATTAGTTCCCATCCACGCAAATGCAAAACCTAAAACAAAAGTTTCATACAACTGAAAAACTTTTTCAAATTTTTGAACTGAGAACAATCTATTCTTTCACTTTATTTTTCCAGACAATTAAAGAAAAAACCCAGGATTTACTGATTTTTGAGGCAAACTTGAGAAAATTTTCTTAAACTTTTGCCTTCCTGATCATTTTAGTTAACAAAATGACAATGAAAAATATAGCAAAATTTATTGAAAAAATTTAAAAAGCTGTCCATCTGGTTTAGATTGAAAAGCTAAAGTCCCACCTCTCTTAGCTATATAAAACTTTTTTTTAGCTCATTTTTCATAAAAAGCCAGAAATGAAATAAAATCAAAATGGAACTGGCAATGAACATTTATTTAGCTGACAAATCACATCCAATTACCAAGCCCTGTCATGACTTGCTATTCATCCCCCACACTAATGAAGAATTTATTCCCATCCTGCTAAAACAGACCCTGAAAAATATTTAATTTTTGAGATGTGGAATCTCACACACATAAAAGAATTAGACTTTCTAAAAGCAGAAGCATTTTCTGTTAGTAACATAAAACCAGACAAACTCAAACTGCATGGTGTTCTGAGCCTTCCCTGTAACTGCTGGTGGGTGAAAAAAGGATACATTTTTGGAGGGCAACCTGACATCATCTTAAAAGTATGAAGATCTTTTGAAGCAGCAATTTTACTTCTAGCTCAACATTGAGGAGTATACAAAGATTTAATTAGAGATATTCACTGTAATGCTGCACGTAATACTATTTATAATACTGCTTCTAATGTTTAATAGCAGGGACTGGTTAAATTATGGCACATATATAGGACAGAAAATTATGTTAGCATTAGAGATAACATTGTAGAAATACACTTACTGATATGGAATGAAAGGCGTAATACACCGACCAGGCCAAATAGCAGGTGATAGAATAGCATGTTTACTTACATGCGCACATACACATGACATCTATGTACATGCATTAAGACTTAGAAGGATATTTCCCAGATCCTAACTGGATATATCTGGCTGTTAGGTTTAGGGATAGTTTTTATTTTCTATCTGTATTGTCTATTTCTTTTTTAAGATAAATTCTTCATTTTAACAAGAAAAGAAAAAAATTATCTGGTGCTCCACAAAGCTTACCACAGCTGACAGGGAAGTCACAGATGGACCATTCTGGGAACAGCTGTCTCAGACGAACCCATAGGCCCGACTGTGGTAGCTAAAGTGATGTGAGCAGGGTGGACTTAACTATTTTGGCTCTGGTAAATCACAACCTATTCGTCTCTAATGTTCTGAGCTATGACCGTTGCTCCTGATGAGGCATGAATGGCCAGCAGAGAGGTAGGGGATTCTAGAAGAGGGCCAGCCAGAAGCTCGAAGAGCACAGCTGTTGGCAGACCATGCTCTGATTCCTGTGGATGGTGGTGAGGTGAGCAAGGGTAGTGCCTAGCTCAAGAGCTGCCAGAGCCAGGTCAGAGAGGGTGTCTTGCTGTGCAGGAGTGTTGGAAGGAATGCCAATCAGAAGGCCTGGTTCTAGTCCTGGCTCCACCACATATCAGTCATGCACCCAAGGGTAACCCTTAAAGTCCAAAAGCTTTAGCTTTCCCTTTGCAAAACAAGGATTGTACTGGTAGGGTCACTATACTCCGAGTGCCTCTCATGGGCACAGATCCCTCTGAAGAAAATTGACCAAGTAACCCCATGACCATGGCCAAAGCTGAGTGGGCCCCTGAGAGAAGGCTGCCTGCCTATGGGTTGGTCAAGGATCTGGTGAGAGAACCCTGCCTACCAGAGCAATAGTAACCATCAACCAATCAGGTCCTATCAGGGGTTTGAATGAAAGATGGAGATAGTGGCAAAGGACACAAAGCAAAAAAAGTCACAGGGAGTGACAGGGCAGGGCCAAAGAAGCAGAGATAAGAGCTACCATAATGGTGGAGCAGCAGCCTGCACAGGGACAACGATAGCCTTGGGCTTCCCTGGATTCTGGACAATGCTGCTGTGAGGCTGGCTGAGCAGAATAGTCCAAGACTCCTTACTCCCTCTGAAGCCCCATTTCAGGTGACCTGAATGTGTGTGTCTGTTTCAGCTTTAAAGCCATCAAGGAGATCACCCCTGCCCTGAACACCCTGGATTACTGACTCAGAGCAGCAATGTGTTACCTCTACTGCTTACACCGACTGCCCACCATGGGGGCAGTGCTCCGCGTGCTCCTCCCAACAGTAGCTGAGAGGGTAAGGACCCCTAGTCCCACTTTCAGTTGAGCAAACTGAAGCTGTAAAGTCCAAGCCAGAAAGCAGAGATTTAAACTCCAGTCCGTTAATGCCAAAGCCTATGTTCTCAATACTCTTCCTTTCATAAAAATAAAATTTGAAGTACTTCATAATAAACAGTAAAGAGCTATATAAAGTGAGCAATACACAAGGTCTGCTGTGCCTGGAAGGAGTGACCCACACAGTCCCGCTCCCACCTGTGTGTCTCCTTACCTGCCCAGTTTCTGACCCTCGCCAGTGAAGGCTTTGAAGGCTCCCTTGGGCTTCACAAAGTCCTCATCCCGATGGTCCTCCATGTCCAAGTTCACCTGCCCACCATGAGCTAACCTCCGCAGCTCTGCTGGCACCTCTCTGAGGGAGAAAAGGCAATGCTGGGGCCCACATACAGCAGGATGGGGATGACACTGATGGGTGCAAAGGGAGAAGGAACTTCTCAGCCCCAACAGTGAAAACTGCTGGGCCTCCACGGGAAGTCAGCTACTCTGGTGGCTACCTGTCTGCCTCCACCTTCTCTCATACCTATTCAGAGTCATAGCAGAGACCTGTATCTTATTTGATGACTTGGCTCTGTCATAGGCCCAAAGGGGAAAGTAGAGACACAGGGTTTTTAGAAAAGATCTGTGAATCTGTATTTGAACTGTGCTAAATCTGATTAAAATTCTAAACTTCTTAAATAAAAAACTTGATCAGCTTCCTTCCCATCTGCCATCTCACTCAGTGATATGGAACCTGGACAAGGGTTTTTCTGCTCACCCTCTGCGGATAGACTCCAGAAACTGGGCATTGGATGGGTCTTGGTAGCTTCTGAGTTCACCATTGTCCAGGCTGAATCCACTCTTCCAGAGTTTCAACACTACATGGACCTGTGACAACAGGAGGTAAGCAGTCCATACATTGTCAGGAACCTGGCAAGCACACCAGTGTGAACCTGCAAATTAGCGAGTTTTTACTATTTTACTGTGTTATTATTAAAACACACAGACAGACAAACATATACACATACAAAAGGAGATCAATCAACAACCAACAAAATGAGTATTAAATAAGCAGGTGACATGGCACAGGTTGAGAGCATGAGCTTTGATTTAAGCAGACCTGGGTCTGCATCATAATTTTGCCACTCACTAGCTAAGTGGCTGAGGCATCCTTCTCTGTAGGGTTGCCAGTGTGCTTGGCACAAAGCTTGTGCTCAACTGAACTACTATGGCAAAAATTATATGTACTCTGCAGTCATTAAAAACAGTATGGACAATTTCTGTTAATAATACATATCCACAGAAAAGAGTCCAAAGGACTAAAAACCAACATATTACCAGCTGCTGTCTCAGGAAGATAGGATTTTTATTTTTTCTTGCTTGACTTTATTTTAGGATAAACCCCCAAGTGATTAAAAACAAATACATTATGGAAACTAATGGTCACAAAAAACTCAAAATTGTCTCTACGGTATGGTTACACTTATTGTAGGAGGGGACCCCTATGCATAGGACTGGACAAGAGCAAGAAAAAATTTTAGAAGTCACATTTCAGGCCTCCTTGGGTGGTCTGAATTCCAAGTTCTTTAGCCATGTCCACACTACCAGAGAACCCTGGAATCACTATCCCTCTGCCTGAGATCCATGGAATGCTCAGAAAACCCTTCCATTCATTCATCTGCTTTGCCCACCCTTCCTCATGAGCCCCTCTACTCCCCACCCAGCCAGATGAGAGATGCCTTTGATTCTCAAGTAAGCCTTTCTTTCCATTCACAAACCACAGCAAAGGTGCTCTTTTTTCCTTTTCAGAGGCTGCTGATTCACATGTAACATGGGACCAATTTCTTCTAAAAAATGATAAAACAGTCCACGAGCTTTCCTAGAAAAGTTATATGCACACTCACATCTTGGCCGGAATGCCGCCTCCTTTCTCCTGCCACGTAGGCAGACTCTTCCTCTGGTGCTGCTCCAAGGCGGTAGCCACCCCCTGCAAATGGCTATAAAAGATAAGTTCATAAACCCGAGAAGTGGGTCAACAGCGATCAGGTTACTCAAATACAATGATGTTATCTCAAGCTCGTTAACTACTAGATGTACTTTCTCTGGGTAGCAAACTCAGAACTACAGGGCCAGAAAATAAAGGTAGAAGAATTAAATGGCCAGGATTGGGGTGAAAACTAAAGGTGGGCAGGAAGGGGGCAGGGTGCTTGGCTAAAGGGAATGACTGTTACTAAGCTCTAGTTAATTATGACCATGTTGGAATCTAGGTGCAGAATAACACCAAAGACTTTCTGATTTTCCCAAAGAAAACAGAAATCAAGATTTAATGTAAAGCAGGTGGCTACTGATTCAATTAAAACAAAAATAAAGCAAAACACTAAGTCAAGTTGGTCAGGCCAAATAAAACATGTCTGCAGGACCTGATCCAGACCACAGATCACAGGTTTGAAAACTTTGCCCCAAATCTTGATTTCATGTTAAAGGGTAAGAGAAACTGCACTGCTCTTCACATACGAGAAGTGAGCAAATGAAAAACAAAAACAAATTTAGTCACTACTGGGGTGAGAAAGGCCTCCTTCCCTGCTCTGGAACCTCAGCCCTGTGGACACAGACAACGACCTGCTTTATGCTCACTCTTGGTTTACTGGTCTCTCCAGGGCTTCTGGTCACTCGCTCCACGGCTACGGCTCCATGCTCCTTGGCACCTTTAAAGAGATCGTCCACCAGCTCGTTGGGACTTTTCTTCCTGGGAGGGCCAACAATCTGCTGTCCACTTCTCTCTGAGCCCCCAGCATAAAACCTGTGCAGAAAATACACATCTAATACCAAATACACTTAGAAAACATGACTAGAGCACGTGCCAGACTCTGGGCTAGGAGCCGAGCACACTGAAGCAAAGGGTACAAATGCTCATCTTTAAGGAACTCACTGTCTAGTTGGGGACACATGTAAAGAGGCAGGCAGGCATACTGAAGTCAGGGGTCAGTCAGGGGTGCTCTGGGAACACTGAACTGGGGAGGACAGTCAAGGGTTCCTAGAAGGGAATCTTCTGGGCTGAATCTTGAGGATAAAGTTTTTATCAGGAAAAGAAATCAGGGAAGGGCATTCCAGGCATGCATGATAGCATGTTAGCTCTGGAGAGGGTCCCAGCTGGGAACTATCCAGCCAGTGGTCAGCACCTTTCCAGGAGACGGTAACTACGGTCACGGTCAGAAGCAGCTACCACTAGCAGCCCTAGTGGCAGTGGCGTGGTTAGTACAGGCAGCTAGGCTCCAGCATTGGCTCTGCCAGAGTGACCTGGGCAAGCCGGTGCATTGAGCTGTGCCTCATTTTCCTTCTTTGAAATGAGAGGAAAAGACCACATGCCCTACCTACCTGCTCCTTAAGTCAAGGCCGAGAGGTTCAAACCAGCGGATGTATGCAAAAGAACAAGCACAGAGTAATACACACGTGTAAGGTAGTGTGATACAGTACCGAGAGCTCATCCAAGCCTCGTCTCATCTTGCAACTTTCGTAACATAACACTGCGGGAACTGACGAGAGGGTACTGGAGAAAATCAGGGAAGCTCAAATACAAGCCCCAGGATACCCACACCAGGCTTTGCAATGGGCCAAACAAGGCTTTAGACTGTCAGCACTTCTTTTTTTTTTACTGGGTTTAAAAACCTGCAGTCATGCAGCCTTGGCTAGCTGGCTCCTCTCCACTCCTATTCACAGCTGGGTCAACAGCAAACCCCTGAGTGGAGAGAACTGAGAACCTTCAAAATTGAGTCAGCCTTTTATTTCCTGACATTCCTCAGGGAATGCCCAAGGCCTTGGCAGGGACAACAGCACCGGTATCATTAGGTCTGAAATGCTGAGGGACCAAGGAAGTAACAGGGATGTGAAATAAAAGGTTGTTGGCTAGAGGATGTGACAGGATGGGAGAAGAGGAGGTCACTAAGGGACTGAACATTCACTTACTTGATGACATTGCCTTTCATTCAAGGCGTGTTAAAACACTGAAATTTACATTTATTCCTGAATCTTCAGTGTATCTAAATAGAAGGCTCTGAGACAGTGTAAAGGTCACCATATGGATGAAAATGGAGAACAAGATATAGGTAATTTCTCAGCCAACTTCCCAAAGAGTGACCAAAATGCAGGTAATTGCATTTCCATAATGGTTACTATCCAATGTTCCTTAGGAATGTTTCACAGACTGAGGCAGATTCCACGGAGAACCAAAACCCATGAAATGAGGCTGTAGCCAGTTCATCTTTATTCATTTCAGGTAGAAAAGGTTTACTCAATGGACTGTAAGATTTTTATTAACGGATCTCAAAGCCCTGGCTTACAAAGTAGGAACCTGTGATAAAGACTGCTATAAAAATATTCATGCCCTTGACCTGGTATTTTCATTTCTAGAAACTTTTCTAATAATCTGAAATGAAGTCAGAGAGTAGTACACAGAGATGTTCACAGCACTGATATTTACAGTGGTAAAAAAAAAATCTTACTGATGTAAACATTGGACATTCCATATGATGGATTATTATAGTCACTGAAAACACTTATGAAGAACTTAATGACATGAAGAAGTATTTAACATGTAGTATTAATTCTACAAAAGCAAGAAACAAAATTATCTGACCTTCATGATGTGAAATACAATAGAAACTAAGTATATTTATACACAGAATCAAGACTAAGTGGAAATATGTCAGAATATTAACTGTAGTTACCAAATGGTAGACGAGTGTTATATTTTTTTCATTACACTATTCTGTGTTTTCCACAATGGACACTAATTTTATTACAACATTCCTAAAGGTTAAAAACAAACAAAAAATAGTACTGTGTCTATATATGGGGAGAATATACATTTGTAAGCCTTTTATTCTGTTCATTATGTGATGTATTGCTTTTTCAATTAAGAAGAAAAAGCTGGAAGGAAATACAACAAAAATATTGATACCTGGTTACCTCTGGGTTTTAGTATTATGAATGGCTTTTTTCTCTATTGACTTATTTCCTTTCCCCTAATGTTCTTGAATAAATACATACTATTGTAATAACTAAAAATGAAACAAAACTGGGGGAGGGGGGTGTATAGGTCAGAGGTAGAGCTCATGCTTAGCATGCATGAAGTCCTGGGTTCAATCCCCAGTACCTCCACTGAAACAAAACAAAAAATAAAAACAAACCCAGAATACCCCAAAAGGAGAAAAAAAAATATTAAGAGGACAGGGATCATTTCTAAGCTACAGGGAATGGAAAACTGTTTCCAGTATGTGTGTGACTAGCCCACAGCAGTAATGGCTAATGGTAACCAAGCATATTTATTCTTTTAGGTGATTTACACATTATCATGGACTTTTCTAGACTGTGCCCCTGAACAGACTCACCTCTGACCCTCTTCCTCCTCCTCGTCCTCGTCCTGGTCATGAATGAGGTCTCTGAAAGATGTCACCCTATTATCGCTGGAGACACAGAAAGGAGCAAAATGATCTCAAAGGGGAGTTAAAGAAAGGTGAGCCCCATCATTACAGCTGCTAAGAGTTCATTTTTTTGGTGGGGCAGGAAGAAGATCTCTTGGAAGAGGGTTAACCTCTCAAGTTTATGTGCAAAATAATGTGGCATTTATTTATTCCAGGTCACACAGGACTAAGAGCACATCAGCAAGTGTACTGTGAAGTAAAGGGGACTCCCGTTTAAGTTCTCCTGTCGGGGGGAGGGAACAGGGCAGGGTCTGTGCTACTTTAAAACCTACTGCTGGATTGTGGTTTTTATCATCTGATTTTTAAATGCTGAGGGAATGCCTGTGTGCCAGGCACAGAACTGGATGCCAGGTCTATAAAATGATCAGGCATACTTCTCATCCTTTAGTTGCTTACAGGCTAATGGCACTTTGGCCAGGAAACCATCCACTAAATACTGTGCAATAGGGGCTGTGACAGAGGGAAGCACATGGGATGTGACAGCACAGAGTCTCTTGTTCTGGGTGAGGGTGGGGGGACGTTAGGAAAGTCTTCCCAGAAAAGCGCACATTTGGACCAAGCGCTGAAGAACTGGTGGCGGATGGTCAATCAGGTGGCTAAAAGATGGGGGTGTGAGGTGGTGCTGGTGGGGAAAGGAGTTGTTTACTCCAGTTCAGTATTGAAGATTTACTTCAAAGAGACACTCAGAGGACAGAATAGATTCTGAGGTTCCACCAACCAGAAATGAGAGGACAAAGAGTAATCGATGTAGCAAGTACATTCCTGCTTGACTTAGCTGAGAGCAACCCCCTGGGCATTCCTTGATGCTCCACACAACACAGCTCAAAAGGATGCAAGTGATAAGATACATATTAGTGCCCTAAAAGGGTAATTCCACTCATTAATCCTCCCAGGGGAGTTTTCCAGATGCTCAGCTTAGCAGCTATGGAAAAAAAATCCTCTATCTCTCCACTTTTAAACATCTTCAGATACACATGTGCATCCTTGTTTGAGCAAACCACTTGCTCTGGCTAAGGGTTTGACTCTTGCCCCTGAAGTTCTTACACCTAGACTCCTGACAGTATCCAACACAGGCTCTGGTGTCCATATACCTGGTTCTGATCCCAACTCAGCCTCCCACCCTGGGACCCGGGGCATGCGAATGGAGTTCTCTAAGCCTTCATCTTCTCAGGTACAAATGGAGACAATCAGCACCAACCTCAGGGTCTGGCTGTGAACAGTCAGGGTGCCAGTGCACTGTGTAGCACATTTCAAGTACTGCTCTTAAGCAGTGGTTCTCAAAGTGCTGGTCCTTGGACCAGGAGCATCCGCATTACCTGTGAAACTGTGAGAAATGCAAATTCTCAGGACCCACCTTAGACTTCCTCAATCAGAAACTTCAGAGGAGTGTCTAGTAATCTGGTTTCAAGGAGTTCTCCAAGTAATTCTGATGCAGCTCACATCTGAGAACCACTGCTCTCTCTGGAGTAATGCTCTGAGAGTTGGCTTGATTGTATGGATGTCCTGGGGACATTACCAGTTTCAGAATACTCTGTCTTAATATCCTCCATAAATTGGCAAAGGTGTCTTAGAAATTTCAATTGTTCAGCATCAAAACCCTACCTCCCAGGTACCCTGAAGTGGCATCAAAGTCCTTGGTCAGATCACATTTCTGCAGTGACAGAAATGTGGTATCTGCACTGTCCAATATGGAAGCCACTAGTCACATGTGGCTATTGAGCACCTGAAATTCAGTAAGTGTGAATGAATAACTGAATGTTTGTTTACTTAATTTTAATGATAAAACCACATCGGTGGCTACTGGCTATCATATTAGACTGCAGTTTCAGAGAATCAGACAATGATAGTCCCTGAAATTCTAAGAAAGTATAGCTTTGTTGGATGAAAGAAGAAAAAGGAAGAAACTAACAGTCAATCTCTCGCTCAACCCTGTGCTAGGCAC